CACGGCCTGCCTCCTGACTGCCTGAAGGGCCAGCCAGGCCGAGGAGGCTGCTCTTGCCAATGCACGGCCTGCCTCCTGACTGCCTGAAGGGCCAGCCAGGCCGAGGAGGCTGCTCTTGCCAATGCCGAAGTGTGTCAGGGGCTGGCGCTGCAGCATCTGCTGAGGCTGGCGTGGATACCCTGGTTCCAAAAACCCTGGTTTGGTGCCTGAGTTTCAGGGCCGGTCGTTCTGGTGAACGACCGAAAATAACCCTTCGTTTCAGACTAAAAAGGCTCTTGCCATTTTTAGTTTGAAACGACACAGGAACTGTAGGCCCCTGTTTTCAGGCTGAATTCTAGGCTTTTTGGCTGAAGGGCGCAGGGCCTGGAAAATGGCCTGCGTGTGCAGGCGCAGCATGTAACACCCCCCCCTCCTTATGAAGTCAAGCCGGGGCGAGGGCGAAGCCGACGATCTGAAGGTGGAACCTGGAAGCGGGCGCGGCGTGGAACCGAAGAAACCGGCTTGCCTTGCATCTTGCGTTCATAGCGTGCGAGAACGTCTGGAGCTGTTGCTTGAAGTTCCGCACGGGTTAACCAACGGTCAGCTCGGTGTGTGCAGTATGCAAAGTGCACCAAATACTCAGTTGGCTTGTTGTCGTAGCGTCGCTGGGAGATGATGTCGCCGACCTCCTGAAAACCATCCATAGAAGGTGGGTCTTGCGTACGTCTCCCGGGAAAATTGTCATGTTCCGCTGGCGTGTAGAGAGCCAATTTGGAGCAATGAAAGACTGGGTAGACAGGCAAGTGGCCGGGCAGCTGAATCGTGAAGGAAGGTCCTTCGGGTGCGTCCCCAGCGGGCGCTACGATCGGCCAAGGCCCCATCCATTTCGGAAGGAGCTTGCGAGAGATGTCTTGTTCAAGGCTGAATTCCGCTGCGGAAACCCAGACGAGGTCACCGACGCGGAATGGACAAGGAAGACGCTGGCAAATGGCCTGCTGGCTCATGCGTTGTTGCGTCTTAGCCATCTGGTCGCGTGCCTTGACAAGAAGCTCTTGCATCCGGAAGCAAAGAAAAGAAGATGGTCGTGCGTGGAGTAATAGTGTCCAACGGTGACGTGACCAGCGAGCCGTGCTCGAACTCGAAGGGTGATATCCCAATAGCCGGGTGGATGGAAGAGTTGTAGGCCAACTCGACGTCCGGCAGTCGCTCAACCCAGTCTTTCTGGTCAGGGCGGATGAGAGTGCGAAGAAGAACCTGTGCGGTCTGATGCGCCCTCTCCGTCTGGCCATCGGTCTGAGGGTGGCGAGCTGAACTGGGCTTGAGAGATGAGCCCCATCGCTTGATGAGCGCCAACCAAAAATCAAACATAAACCGAGTGTCGCGGTCGCAGACGATCTCCTTGGGGTAACCCTTGGTTCGAATCCAACCGGCGTAAAGAACCTCGGCCAACTCCGGTGCCTTGGCGTGATAGCGACAAGGCAAAAACATGGCCAACGTGGTGAGTCGGTCGACCACCGTAAGAATCCCATCCACTCCGGTCTTGTGCTTGGGGAACGGGCCGGTAATGTCCATGGCAATCGCTTCCCTTCGCCTCAACGGGACTGGCAATGGTCGTAACTCACCGTACGGACGATGGTTGTGGGATTTGCAACGTCGGCAAACCTCGCATGACTCCCAATAGCGCGTGACGTCGCCAAGAAGGCCGGGCCACCAAAATCGCTGGCGAAGTCGGCCAATCGTGCGATTGACTCCAAAGTGTCCGGTGGCGGGAGCATCGTGGAACTCGCCAAGAAGCCGTGTACGCAAGTGAGGATCACTTGGTACGCAAAGAAGGTCCTTCCTCTGTGTGTGGACAAGCAAGTACCCCTCTTGGATCCGGTAGTGAGAAGGAGCCGGAGTAGGAGAGGAGCAATTCGCGTACTTGTCGCGAAACTCGGGGTGGGCTTGGTAGCCGCGGATGAAACTGTTCCGCAGGTCGTCATCGATCTCGAAGGTTGAGTAGACCGCGGTACAATGATCCGAACACCGTGAAAGAGCATCCGCAAAACGGTTCGACTTCCTGGGAATGTGATCGGGAAAGAAGTCGAACTGGTCAATGAAAGTCATCCATCAAGCGATGGTGCTGTTGACGGTGTCTTGGGTCTTGTAGAAGACCAACGGATTGTTGTCCGTCACCCAACGAAATTGGCTTCGACCAAGGAGGAAGTGTCGCTACCGCTTGAGCGCGTGGACGAAGGCGAGGAGCTCCTTCTTGCGTGCATCGTCAATGGAATGCACGAGTGGCACTTTCTTGCTGAAGTACTCGACCGGGTGCCAGTCCACACCATCATGTTGCTCGAGGACTGCACCAATGCCATAGCCTGACGCATCCGTAGTGACACGTGTAAGCGTGAGCGGGTCGTATATCCGCAAGACCTCCGCAGACAATAGCGCGGCTTTGAGAGCGAGGAATGATCCCCGCGCCTCCTCTCCAAAGTCAAACGGCCGATCCTCGCACTGAAGCTTGTTCAAGTGGGCCGCAATCATGGAGTAGCCTTTGATGAAGCGTTGATAGTAGCCGGTAAGACCGAGGAACGAGCGCACATCCGTAACGTTCCGAGACTCCAACCACTCTTGGACGGCCTGAATCTTGTCCGATAACGGACTGATGCCCTCCGGTGTGACAAAATGGCCCAAGTATTCCAGCTCTTGCCGGACAAATTCACACTTGTCGCGGTTGGCCTTGTACTTGGCACGGCGGAGCGTCTCCAACACTCGTCGAAGATGTCCAAGATGATCCTCCAATGTCCGACTGTAGACGAGAATATCGTCTAAGTAGACCAGCACAAACCGGTCCAACATTGCACGGAACTCATTGGTCATCGCCGCCTGGAATGTCGTTAGGGCGTTGGTGAGGCCAAAAGGCATCACCACCCACTCAAAATGCCCGTACCGCGTCTTGAATGCAGTTTTGTAGCGATCATTAGGTTGAATCGAGACTTGATGATATCCTGATTTCAAATCGAGCTTGGAAAAATACTTCGCACCGCCCAGCCGCTCGAGAAGATTGTCGATGCGAGGAAGAGGCCTCGCATTCTTGACGGTTTGCGCGTTGAGCTTGCGGTAGTCGATGCACAATCGTAGATCCTTGTTCTTCTTCCTGACGAAGAGAACTGGTGCTCCATATGGGGAGCTACTCGGGCAGATCCAGCCCTTGGCCAACAAATCATCGAGTTGTGCGCGGAGTACCTCAAGCTCCTCCTCGCTCATCCGATAGATGCAACCTTTCGACGGCACGGCACCGGCCTCAAG